ACTGAGGCCTTTCATCCATTTTGAGTTTATCTTTGTGTATGGTGTTAGAGAATGGTCAAGTTTCATTCTTCTGTGTATAGCTGTCCAATTTTCCCAGCACCGTTTACTGAAGAGACTGTCTTTTCCATTGCATATTTTTTCCTGCTTTGTCGAAGATTATTTGACCACAGAGTTGAAGGTCCATATATGGGCTCTCTATTCTGTTCCATTGGTCTGTATGTCTGTTTTTGTGCCAGGACCATGCTTTCTTGGTGATCACTGCTTTGTAATATAGCTTGAAATTGGGCAACGTGATGCCCTCAGCTTTGTTTTTCTTTTTCAACATTTCCTTGACGATTTGGGGTCTTTTCTGATTCCACACAAATTTTAGGACTGTTTGTTCCAGCACTTTGCAAAATGTCATTGGAATTTTGATCAGGATGGCAGTGAAGTTTTAGATTGCTCTGGGTAGCATAGATATTTTAACAGAGTTTGTTCTTCCTATCCATGAGCATGGAATGTTTTTCCATCTTTTTGTGTCTTCTTCAATTTCTTGCATGAGTGTTCTGTAGTTTCTAGAGTATAGATCCTTTACCTCTTTGGTTAGGTTTATTCTGAGGTATCTTATTGTTTTGGTGCTATCATAAATGGAATCTTTTCTCTAATTTCTTTTTCTACAGTTGCACTGTTAGTGTATAAGAAAGCAGCTGATTCTGTGCACTGATTTTGTATCCTGCCACATTATGAATTGCTGTATGAGTTCTAGTAATTTGGGGGTGGAGTCTTTTGGGTTTTCCACATAAAATATCATGTCATCTGTGAAAAGAGAGAGTTTGACTTCTTCTTTGCCAATTTGAATACCTTTTATTTCTTGTTGTTGTCTGATTGCTGTTGCTACGACTTCTAGCACTATGTTGAACAATAGTGGTGAGAATGGGCATCCAGGACATGTTCCTGATCTCAAGGGAAAGGCTCTCAGCTTTCCCTTAGGAAAGGGATGATATTGAGGATGACATTCACTATGGGTTTTTCATAGATGGATTTTATGAACTTGAGGAATGTTCCCTCTATCCCTATACTCTGAAGAGTTTTAATCAGGAAAGGATGCTGTATTTTGTCAAATGCTTTTTCTGCGTCAATTGGGAGGACCATATGGTTCTTCTCTCTCCTGTTATTAATGTGTTCTATCACGTTGATTGATTTGTGAATGTTGAACCACTCTTGCATCCCAGGGATAAATCCTACTTGGTTGTGGTGAATGATCCTTTTAATGTATTGTTGGATCCTAATAGCTAGGATTTTGTTGAGCATTTTGGAATCCATATTCATCAGGCATATTTGTCTGAAATTCTGCTTTTTGATGTAGTCTTTGCCTGGTTTGGGGATTAAGGTAATGCTGGCCTCATAGAATGAGTCTGGAAGCTTTCCTTCTGTTTCTATTTTTTGAAACAACTTCAGGAGAATAGGTATTATTTTTTCTTTGAATGTTTGGTAGAATTCCCCAGGGAATCCATCAGGCCCTGGACTCTTGTTTTTGGGGAGATATTTGATCACTGCTTCAATCTCGTTACTGGTTATTGGCCTATTCAGGTTGTCAATTTCTTCCTGTTTAAGCTCGGAAGTTTATAGGTTTCCAGGAAGGCATCCATCTCATCCAGGTTGCTAAGTTTATTCGCATATAGTTGTTGATAATAATTTCTAATAATTGTTCCTATTTCCTTGGTGTTAGTCGTGATCTCTCCCCTTTCATTCATAATTTTATTAATTTGGGTCCTTTTTCTTTTCTTTTGGATAAGTCTAGCCAGTGGTTTATCGATCTTAATTCTTTCAAAGGACCAGCTTCTAGTTTCATTGATCTGATCTACTGTGTTTCTGGTTTCTAATTTATTGATCTCTGCTCTAATCTTAATTATTTCTCTTCTAATGCATGGTTTAGGCATCGTTTGTTGCTTTTTCTCTAGTTCTTTAAGGTGTAGAGTTAGCTGGAGAATTTGGGATTTTTCTGTCTTTTTGAGTGAGGCTTGAATGGCTGTGTATTTCCCCCTTAGGACTACCTTTGCAGTATCCCATAGGTTTTGGACTGATGTTTTCGTTCTCATTGGTTTCCAGGAATTTTTTGAGTTCTTCTTTGATTTCCTTGTTGACCCAAACATTCTTGAACAGAGTGGTCTTTAGCCTTCAAGTGTTTGAATTTCTGCCAAATTTTTTCTTGTGATTGAGTTCCAGTTTTAAAGCATTGTGGTCTGAGAATATGCAGGGAATATCTCAAACTTTTAGTGTCAGTTGAGACCTGATTTTTGACCCAGTATGTGGTCTATTCTGGAGAAAGTTCCATGTGTGCTCGAGAAGAATGAGTATTCTGTTGTTTCAGGGTGGAATGTTCTGTATGTATCTATGAGGCCCATCTGGTCTAGTGTGTCATTCAAAGCTCTTGTTTCTTTGTTGATTTTCTGCTTCAGTGATCTGTCTATTGCTGAGAGTGGAGTATTGAGGTCTCCTACAATTAACGTATTGTTATCAATATGACTATTTTGGTAAACAGTTGGCTTATGTAGATGGCTGCTCCCATGTTGGGGGTGTAGCTATTTACAATTGCTGGGTCTTCTTGTTGGATAGAGCCTTTAAGAATGATACAGTGTCCTTCTGTGTCTCTAACTATAGTCTTTAGCTTAAAATCTAATTTGTCGGATATAAGAATTGCTACCCCAGCTTTCTTTTGAGGTCCGTTGGCATGGAAGATGGATCTCCATCTCTTCACTTTCAGTCTGGATGTATCTTTAGGTTCAAAATGAGTCTCTTTTAGACAGCATATAGATGGGTCCTGTCTTTTTATGCAATCTGCAACCCTGTGCCATTTTATGGGAGCATTTAGGCCATTCACTTTGTGAGTGATTATTGAAAGATATGAATTTATTGTCATCATGTTGCCTGTGAAGAACTTGTTTTTATAGATCGTTTCTGTAAATTTCTGTTCTATATCACTTTTGGGGTCTTTCTCCTTTTACAGAACCCCCCTTAATATATCCTGCAGGTCGGCTTAGTGGTCACATTTTCTTTCAGTTTCTGCTGGTCTTGGAAGCTCTGCATCTCTCCATCCATTCTAAATGACAGCCTTGCCGGATAAAGTATTCTTGGCTGCATGTTCTTCTCGTTTAGTACCCTGAATATGTCTTGCCAGCCTTTTCTGGCTTTCCAGGTCTCTGTGAATAGGTCTGACATTATTCTGATGTTCCTCCCTCTGTATGTAAGGAATCTCTTCCTCCTAACTGCCGTTAAGCTGGTTTCCTTGGTTCTAAGATTTGCGAGTTTTACTATTACATGCCAGGCATTGGCCTGTTTTTCTTGATCTTGGGAGGGGTCCTCTCTGCCTCTAGGACACGACTGTTTGTTTCATTCCCCAGATTAGGGAAGTTCTCAGCTACGATTTGCTCAAATATATCTTCTAGTCCTCTCTCTCTCCACTCCCTCAGGGATTCCAATAATTCTGACATTGGAACATTTCATGGTGTCACTTATTTCTGATTCTATTTTCATGGATTCTGAGTTGTTTTTCCCTGGCCTCCTCTTTTCCCTTCTTGTCTATTAATTGGTCTTCTAGATCACCAATTAGTTCTTCTTCTTCACGTACCCTAGGTGTTAGATGATCTAAATTAGATTGGATCTCATTGATAGCATTTTTAAGTTCTGCCAATTCAGCTTTCATTTCTGCCCTTAGAGACTCTATGTTGCCATTAATTGATTTCTCCATTCTAGCTATTGTCTTCACAATTGCTACCCTGAATTGCATCTCCGACATCTTGGTTATATCTGCAACCATTTATAAGTCTGTGGCATAAATCATAGTCTCTGAGCCTTTCCTACTTTGGGGGTTCCTCCTCCTAGTCATTCTGTTGATGGGTGGTTGAGGGAATGTATAGAGTCCAAATTATTGACCACAATCCAAGCAAGGTGCACATGTTTTCTAGGGACCTTAGGGTTGCTGGCCTCTTGTTCTCCCAGCCTGTCTTCTGCGGGGAGGGACCTGCTTCACTGTTACTCAGGCAACCCTGTTTGGGCAGAGTTGCCCTGCCCCCTGTGGCGGGGGACGGGCTTAGTGAAAACCATTTTTGGGGGGCTTCTGTTCTCTGGCGGCTTTCCCTGGTCGCTTTCCACATCTCTTCTGAGAGTCCGAGCAGAAGAGATCGTCTCCAACCCTCTCCCTCAGGGCATAGAAATCACAGTCTGTTCTTCAGTGAGCTCTCCAGGCCACACTGTCCATTTCTGTCTGTGCTGCTATAAACTCAGCATCCTGGGTTGTGCACCCCCTCAGCAGTGCTCCCAGTCCTCGCCCCCAGGTCAGGGCACATCTCTGCCCTTTGTGCTTCTAAAACCGCCAGCCTCCCCCAGTTCACACGCATGGCTCCACCGCTTTGGGTTTCCATCTGGGGGGCTGCCCTAAAGTCCTTTCCCCATCGCTACCGGTCTGCGAGTCTGTGCTCCCTCCCCAGCACGGGAGTCTATCACTCACCCGCAGTGTAGGATCCAATGGCTCGGCTCCCTCCCCCTTCCATTTATCCTCCGATATCTGCCCGCAGACTCACGGCTCCCCACTTCATACCTCGAAACTAACTGCCTGCGATATTCTGTTTGTAGAGATCCATATCTATCTTCTTACATCTCAGGCTGATTTCTTGGGTGTTCAGAGTGGTCTGGTAGATACCCAGCTCAATTTTGGGGATGGTTGGAATAGGGACCCCTACTCCTCCACCATCTTTTCCCCTCCTCAAAAAGGTAATTTGTAATTGAAGTAACGTGTCACTTAAGGATAAGTCACTTAAGGATAAATTGAAGTAATATGTCACTTAAGGATAAATTGAAGTAACACGTCACTTAAGGATAAGTCCATTCTACTATTGAGTATCAACCATTCAAGAAAACAAACATCCGTTTGATCTACAGAAAAAAAAACAAGTCTCTTATTTGATATTCAAGGCCCTCTGGAATTTGCCTCATCCCATGTATCTTACCTTTCCTTCACACAGCTTGCCAAACAACCATCAGTGTGACTTAAATCAGGTTCCCAGAGTGAGAGAGAGAAAAAGATCCATGTGCAAGTGACATATTAAGTAAGTATTCCTGGGAGAATCCAAATTTCAGCCTGGATGCAAACTGTAAATTTTCCAGACACAATGCAAAGTGCTGGGCTTTCAAAACATCCCACCAGTAAGTCACTGACCCAGAGCAGCCCTGGCCAGATGTGAATTCCCTGGCACTTGCAGCTTTCTGGATAGGAAGGCAAAGCAGCCCCCTGGGGCAAAGAAGCCCTCAAGGAGTTCTCCAAAGAGAGTCTAGGGTGCAGGTCCTTAAGTGCAAGAACATAAAAGCTAGACCAGGGCACAGCAAAATGGTGAAAGAGATCTGAAGTGGTATGAGTGGCTTACAGACCGATTTCCCCCACACTGGCCTTAGTTCTGAATCCTCATCAATCCCGTGTGCCCTGTCTAGGTACACTAAACATGCTTGCTCTCTTCTTTACCCCCGCTTTACCTGTGCTGGAGTAATAGGTTTCATTTGAGTCACATTTTTTTTAGATGTTTTTAAATACTTCAGCTGTAATTCTCATAATTTTTCTACTCTTTGTTCTATAATAAAAGGAGTCAATTCTGCCCAGCACTCCTTTATTGTGGTTTCTCTTATTTTTTTTTTTTTCATTTTGATTTACATCTTCACTAACCAATGGAAAGGTAACATTTTGTCAGGGTAGCTCATCATTGTTACATTTCTCGTTTTTTCATGCTTCAGATTGTCTTTATATTCATTTTGCCTTCAGTGAAACACTAACAGAATCATATTTGAGGGTCACACTTTCATTCAAAACTTTGTAAGCATAATTCCATTATTGAAGTAAGGTGAACCTTTGGATATTTTTGTGCAGTATTCTGATGCCAGTGTAATGTTTTCTGCCTTATAAATTGTTTGTTTTCTCTGTCTGATGCTTGACTAGTTAAATTCTTAATATTCAATAATTTAATCAGAATATATTCCAGTGTTAATATGTAAAATCAGACTTCCCCAAAATCTTGTTTCTCTTGTGTTGTAAATTCAAATTTTTTGCTTTATTTCAGGAAAATGTTCTCTATATTTTTTCCATTATGCTTTTTGAATTTTCTTCAGAATCACCAATTGTCTTCATATTGAATTGTCCTTGACTGCTTTCTCTATTAGCTTTTCTCTGTTTAATGGCTTTGTCTTTTTATTAACTGTTATTGTGAGTATAAAATTGTTCCTCTACATAAGTAATTTGTATCATGCTGTATCTATGTTGTCTTTTTCTGTTTATCATTATTTATTAGTTTTGGTTTTGTTCTTAGTTAGTTTCCTAGGGCCTGAAATCTTCCGTTCCATAATGCTGCATTATTTTAGCAGCTCATTTTTTGGCTTTTTGTCATGTATTTTAAATGTCCTGTCATTCCAAGTACGTGTGAAAAATTTCTTTCCATTGTTAGTTTATATTTTTCTTGAGTTAGCTGCCTTTTTGGGGCTTATTTTACATATTATGTCCTTTTCTTTTAAGCCCAACCTCATACTAAATTTGCATTCTGTTTTTTCATTATATTCATGCATGTGTAGCTCTGTGTCCCCCTTGTTTCTTAAATCTAATGTGACTAGTTGGGGTGGGGTTTGACTCCTCAATCTTTTCAGTGGAAATGAAGGGCAATGAATAGGACAGAAGATAGTTTGATGGCCAGTCTTCCTTTCTGGTGGCACCATACATAAACAACATTATCTTATTTTTGTGTGCCAATATTCCCAATTCTATTTTACACCAAAAGGAAGACCAGATATTACCATTACATACTGGTATTTGCTGTGTTTGGTAAATCTTGTAGCAATGAGGGGCATAAAACATGGTTCAACCCTCCTTGCTGATCTCATAGCAACAATCATCTGGTTGGTTGTTTCTGAGCCTCCTTCTCTGGCTTCCACAATTTCCATGCCTAGAGCTCCATCCATGCTGCTCATCTCATGTGGTTAAACTTTCTGCAGTTTCTCCTATATATTTCAGATGTTCACTTTACTCTTCAGTCCTTTCTCTTCTGTTTTGTGATTTTAGGGATTTTAAAAAGAATTCATGGTCCACCAAACTACCTTTTTGTTTTCAAGGGAAATCACATTATACGTTTTACTATCTTTTCCATTATTTCTAGAGTTAGGGCCAGGAATAAGACATTTCTAAGTATTCTGAATTAAAATTAAAAATCAACCTCCTTCTTATTTACTTAGTAAGATATTAAGTACTTTTCTGAGAGTTCTCGGTAAGCACTCTAAGTATGTTCATTCTGTCTTCTTTGAATCTTTTGTATTTATCTTTGAACTGGAGGGGTATATCACTTTACAGAGATGCTACAAATCAATATACAAAGCTATTAGTGTTTTCAATGAACTATTTCCCTTCCAGCTACTTTCTAAATGCTTTCAGCATTTCACCTTGAATCACAACTTTAGTAACACACAATTTCTTATGTTTAGACACACAATACTCAAGTATTTTTTGGTTACAATATGCTGCTTACATCAAAACTCCTAACAGAAACTGTTTTTTTTTTTTTCATGGACATGCAGTTACTAAATTCTAATTTAAAATTATATCTTTAAAAAAGGGAAGAATAGAGAGAAAAGGGAAAAGGAAAACACTTGAAAACAAATTATGACAATTCGTAATAAATATAAAATAATATTCGAGTAGGAGGAATAATGGTTTAACCAAGAATCAAATGGTCCAGCTATAAACCACTTGATTCCTTTTCAATTAACCTTCATCTTTTTTCTTTACATACACATTTATAGATTCTGGGTTAGTGCCAGAGAGGATATGGGGGGATCTGGCTAAATACCAGTTGTTCCCTCTGTGACTAAATAGTAGAGTATTATAGCTTCTCTAAATATTGGGAAAGCTGTTGGTGAGATGAGAGGAAATGTAATGAATCTAATAAATTTAAAGGAAACAATAGTTCAGATACTGTGAACAGAGAAAGTTGGAAGCAATGGCAGTATGAGAGTGATAGCTGGATCAAAAAAGAGAAATAAAATTATATAAGGAGAAAGAAATTATATAAGGAGAAAGAAGAGAAATACTTATGACTATTAAACTTAGAGCCAGGGCCTTTTATACCATGCCATCTCAGGCTGTGCCACATTGTGAAAGGGTTAGCCTTGATGTGTAAATTGGTTCCAATTTGAGTCTCAGTAGATTAAGATTATTGACTAAAGGGGAGGAGTTAATATGGCAGAGGAGTAGGGGGACCCCAAGTTTGTCTTGTCCATCAAATACAACTAGACAGTTATCAAATCATTCTGAGCATCCAAGAAATAAATCAGAGATCTGAGAAAACAAATGCTGCAAGTCTACAAGTAGAAAAGTGACCACCGTTTGGAAGGTAGGAGATAAGGGGACTTGAATCCAGTGTGATATAGCAGAGGATATGGCAGAGGGGAGGGAGCCTGTTTAAGGAGGCTGCCACAAAGCATTATAAGGAGTGGAACGCAAAATCGGAACTTTTAGAAGTCTGCTACAGTGGGGGATATGCCTGGCTTAAAGGTGCTCAGGTGGTGAAATGGGACTGAATCCCAGGTGTGACAGCATGGTCTGAGAATCTGCAGGGTTGCAAGAAGAACAGGTGGTCCCTCAGTGTGGCAGAGTTCCCAGGCATTGGAGTGGGGAAGCTGGCTGAGTACAAGGAGTCTAGATGATGGCTTTTTCTGCTGTGTTGCCATAAACTGTGAACCACTGCACAGTCATGCAATTGCTTTCCAGGGACAGGTCCTGCAAAAAAGCAGCTTGGCAGGACCCCACCTACAATGGGCGGGACTCCCCTTCCCCAGGAGAAGCAGTGTGGGTCTGTGCCATGAGAGTCCCTGAAATTTGGAGTTTTGAAACTCACCGTCTTGTTTCATTTCTCCCTCTCTTTCCCTATGATCCTCTGTCCTGTTTCTCAAATTCCTCCTATCAGTGAGATCATATACTTGTCTTTCTCTGGTTGACTTATTTGACTTAGCATAATACCCTCTGGTTCCATCCACGTTCTGGCAAATGGCAAGATCTCATTTTTTGATGGCTGTATAATGTTCCGTGTGTATATAGATACCACATCTTCTTTATCCATTCATTTGTTGATGGACATCTGGACTCTTTTCATAGTTTGGCTATTGTGTACATTGCCGCTATAAACATTGGGGTGCAGGTGCCCCTTCGGATCACTACATTTGGATCTCTGGGGTAAATACCCACTAGTGCAATTGGTGGGTCGTAGGGTAGCTCTATTTTCAACTTTTTGAGGAACCTCCATACCATTTTCCGGAGTGGCTACACCAGCTTGCATTCCCACCAACAGTGTAAGAGGGTTCCCCTTTCTCCACATCCCCGCCAACATCTGTCATTTCCTGCCTTGTTAATTTTAGCCATTCTGACTGGTGTGAGGTGGTATCTCTTTGAGGTTTTGATTTGGACGTCCCTGATGCCAAGTGATGTTGAGCACTTTTCATGTGTCTATTGGCCATTTCGATGTCTTCTTTGCAGAAATGTCTGTTCATGTCTTCTGCCCATTTCCTGATTGGATTATTTGTTCTTTGGGTGTTGAGTTTGATAACTTCTTTATAGATTTTGGATACTAGCCCTTTATCTGATAGGCCATTTGCAAATATCTTCTCCCATTCTGTCGGTTGTCTTTTGGTTTTGTTGACTGTTTCCTTTGCTGTGCAAAACCTTTTTATCTTGACGAAGTCCCAATAGTTCACTTTTGCCCTTGCTTCCCTTGCCTTTGGCGACGTTTCTAGGAAGAAGTTGCTGTGGCTGAGGTTGAAGAGGTTGCTGCCTGTGTTCTGCTTTAGGATTTTGATGGATTCCGGTCTCACATTTAGGTCTTTCATCCATTTTGAGTCTATTTTTGTGTGTGGTGTAAGGAAATGGTCCAGTTTCATTCTTCTGCATGTGACTGTCCAATTTTCCCAATACCATTTGTTGAAGGGACTTTTTCTATTGGATATTCCTTCCTGCTTTGTCAACGATTAGTTGACCTTAGAGTTGAGGGTCCATTTCTGGGCTCTCTATTCTGTTCCTTTGATTTAT